GGGAGGGGTCGCCCCACCCCCCCGCCAACCACCACACACACACGCGCATGTGCACACACACACACACACACTCACTCACTCTCTCTCACTCACTCTCTCACACTCACACACTCACTCACACACACTCACACTCACACTCTCTCACACACACACACACACACACACACACACACATGGGCGCGCCCACCTCCCTCCCACCATTGGGATCGCCAATCTCCCGTCGGCCTCCGCCCACCTCCCGTCCGCCTCCTCCTGCCATCTCCTCTCCCTCTTCCTCCCCGCCTCCGCCACCTCCCGTCCGCCTCCTCCCACCATCTCTTCTCTGCCTTCACCACCTCCCGTCTGCCTCCTCCCGCCATCTCCTCCCACTATCTCCTTTCAGCCTCCACCCACTCCGCCGGCTATATTCTCTCCGTGCCGCAAAGACGATTCCTTGAAGGGAGGAGGGGGGGGGGGCAGGGGGGGAAGGGAGGGAGGGAGGGAGGGAGGGAGGAAGAGAGAGAAAGAGAGAGAGAGGGAGGGCATCTTCAACAGCAAGTAACAGCACAACAGAGCGGAGGTGAGCGGAGCGTAGAGTTTGTCGAATAGAGTCTGCCCGCGTAGAGTAGTTTGTCGCGTTCGCTAGGTCCCTCAAGTTCCGTGAAGCAGGTGTATGGTCAGCCCGCAACCCAACGGGCGGTTCAACTCCAGCGCGGGCACGAAGTAGGGCCTTAGCGCAACCCTGCAACGGGCCAATGGCCAGCAGGTGCCTGGGCGGTTCTTTTACGATGGGCCCTCTTTACAACGTGCGTGATGATACAGGCCGTGCGTGGTCCTACCGGGCAGATGGCTCGGATCGTCCCTCGATCTTAAGACCTTAAGATCGCACGACAATCCGGGCCGTCCGCCATGCCGGACGTCCTGGACCGTTGCGATCTTAAAGTCTTAAGATCGTGCGAAAATCTGTACCATCAGGCCGGTAGGGCAGTGGGCGGCCCGGATCGCCCAATTCTCACGTTAGCGATTTCTATAAGCGTAGGGATTGGTGGCTGGCATCGCATTTCGGCCTCCAAAAGGGGCCTGCGATTGATGCATGGCATGTACTGACTGGTGGTTAAATGGTCTCGGAGTAGCTTCGAGTTGCTAAGGGTCAGATCCCACTACCCTGGATTATTCATTTTTCACCCTCGATTACGAAGATCAACGGTAAGAAATGAACAATAGGGGCTGTGGGATCTGGACCTAAGAGGCTCACCTGGATTCTGCAAACGAATAGCCGATACAGGTTTTGCCATCGTACTCCCAGAATCCTTGGATACCAACGGCTGAGATCTGTTGTCAGTCTCCGTCTGCATTTTGCTGTTGTCGTCGGTAATGAGAGGAGATGGCCCTTGCGCCCCTTTCCTGTCCCACTCTCTTGCATGTTGACGAATAGTTTCCCGACCATAACCACGACCCCCATGGTTCAGACGATTGGTCCTATCGCCATTGGAACTCGAAACCTCTGGATTCCAGCGGACCACCTCAAACAGAAAAGTGTCTCTTGTTTCCACTCGTTGTCTGGCCGCTGCCGGCTGCAGCATCACATCCCCGTTAGCCGCTTGCCATGGGCTTGGCTGAGAATCATGATCATGCAAATTATCGTCTTCCACATGAGTACGAATGAACCTCCCTACCCGCCCCTACACCACAATTTTTAATTCACCGAAAAGTGTCAGCGCAAAAGGGATGAACAAACACAAATTCTCCACAAACTGCTCAGAAAAGCATTTGAAAAGGACATCAATAGTCGGAAAATGAATGGAATAGGATAATCCAATGCCTTTGTACTGGTGAACGGAAACATCCACACGTTAAAAACGAACAAACAAACAAAGAGAAACTTCTGAAAAAGCAATTACGCCACAAAGATGCAGGTCTTGCTGAAACAAGCCTCAAGGTCCCCCCTTCGAATGTACCACCATCGACAAAATAGTAAACTGGCAGAAACCAGAAAAGGTCCAGGCTCATCTATGATGAGCGGGGGGAAAAAAAAAAAAAAAAAAAAACAATAACAGAAAACGTTCAGGACCTTAGTTGTGGCGCATCTATGCGTTGCGCAACGCGCTGCGATGCGCGATGCGCCGTGCGCCCCCGGGCGGCACCCGGAATGATGCGCGCGCGCTGCGCTGCGCGACACTTCGCTGCGCAGCGCCCCAATGTGTCGGGGGGTGCATGGGGCTCACGCATCGGCACGCGTGGTGCATGCAGTATTTTTTCAACGATGGGCCGTGCAGGAACAGCTGAACCAGGTCGAGTTATCCAGTTCACATGGGTAACAAGTTAATAACCTACCTCAATGACGGAGGGAATGGAGGAGGGAGGAACACATCGATGACACGGGAGCAGGGGGGAGTTAGAAGGACGGAGGGAGGAGGGAGGAAGGAGGAGCACACCTATGACGAAGGAGGGAGAGGAAGGAGAACAACGGAGGGAAGAGGAGATCGGCGACGAGGGAGGATTGAGGAGGACGGAGAATGATGACGAGAGCGACGGAGGGAATGGAGGGAGGAGCACACCGATGACGAGGGAGTAGGGGGAAGGTAGAAGGGCGGAGCAAGGATGGAGGAGCACACCGATGACGAAGGAGGGAGGGGGAGGAGAACAGCAAAGGGAGGAGGAGATCGATGACAAGGGAGGATTGACAAGGAGGAGAACAACGGGAAGGATTGACGAGGAGGAGAACAATGAGGAGGATTGACGAGGAGGAGAACGATGGGGAGGATTGAGAACGAGGAGAACGATGACCAGAAACAAACAGAGGGAATGGGGAAGGGAAGAGCACACGGATGAAGATGGAGGATGGGGAAGGTAGAAGGGCGGAGGAGTAGGAGAACGATGACGGATGAGAGCCCTATGATAAGCGGGGTAGTCCGAGAAGGATGACGAAAGAGGGAGGAAGACGGAGAAGGAGAAGAATGATGAAATGGGGAGGAGGGGCTGCACAGTTTCCACAGACAGAGAGAGAGAGAGGGAGAGAGGGGCTGCTGGTAACCCATCTGGATATGGCTGCTTCCTTCCCCCTTCCCGCTGCTGCGTCCTTCGGCTCCTTCCCGCCGGCGTGGGGCAGGTCCGAGTAGTTCGACAATGAACTACTTGGATCTCCCCGCTTTTTTTTTTTGGGGGGGGGGGGCGCGCGCCCTTAATTTTTTTTGGTGGACTCTGTATTTTTGGCATGTGCCGCATAACGTGCACGCTGCGCGGTGCCGCGCATGTGCGCTTTGCAGCGCATGTCGATGCGCCACATCTATGTTCAGGACCCATGCTCAAGTAACGGTGTCACACTGCCACACCATTTTTTAATTATAAGCCCTTCTTTTGCAACGGTGCACTTCTCGAGTTGTGCAAAATTCACAGATGCACCCCTCATGTCTTGACACTTTTGGCGTTTCGCATATATGACGCCTCCACTTCCCAAGGGCAAGTACCGCATGATCTACCTGTCTACCGTCTTCCCCCAAATAGGACAGATTGTCATTATAGCCGTATTCCGCTCACCTTTCAGTCCAGATGCAGCAAACATTGACCGTATGTTTTGTTCAGGGAAAGGAGGTTGGAAGTGCTTCCCCACTACTTCCACCTCGTGTACTCATTAGACTTCGAAGACGGTTCAACGGTTACAAAACCACACACACACAAAAAAAAAAAAAACAGAAAGAAGTTTGAGAAGTTTTTTTGCCAGTCAGAACAGATCCATAAATATGTTCAAGATGAACTTGTGAGGACATCTCCAAATGCACCACAGAGTGGCACAGACAGAAATCCGCACCTGGACAAAATCACAGTCAGATGCATCTGCGAGGCTCAAAGGCCTCGATACGCCCTACTGGGCCCTACTTTCAGTACAGTCGGCCGCCCTAATGAAGGCAGGCTCGACCAAGGCCTACAGGCCCATTTTGGGGTCACCACGCAACTGGGGAAATTCAGGCAGTTGCGCAGCGCCAGTTGGTTGAGAGCGCCCAGGCCCGGGCTGCCTTTTTTTACATGTAACTGAGGCAGGCCCTGGGCCAGATATGCAACATGGGCCGAACACAGGCTGCGGGCAGTTGGGCACGGGTAACCACCACAGGCCCTGGGCCTGATCCGTTCCGACTGGGGCTCAGCCTCACAGGGCCTACCGGAAGCTTCTGGATCAAGGCCCAGTGGCAGGCAGGCCGCACGCCGCGGGCAGGTCACTTCCATTTAGGAAGTGCCTGCCCCAGCACTCCTCATTCGGGCACTGGCTGCATGCTGCGCAAGCGCTGCTGCGCTACACGCTGGCCAGGCTCACGCGCTCACGGGCGAGCAGGGAGAGGCAGGCAGCCATAGCCGAGCTGCGCTGCAGAGCTGGATGGGGCGCATGGTGGACCTTGGGTGCACGTGGCATCTGTGAGTGGGGCATCGAGGTTGTGAGTGATACGAGAGACATACCTGGTGCTTGAGGCGAACGGCATTGGCCGAGATCTGCTCGTACTTCGGGGAGCTGTTGACGTCACCGGCGGCATTGTAGATAGGCTAGATAGGATCTGCCATTTGTAGTCTGGGCGCAGAGCGCCAGATAGGATGTCGACATTGGTTCTTTGTTGATGATGATGAGACTATTCGAACATTGTCACTTATGAGCTTTTGCTGTGCTCTTATTTGGTGGGACTCATGTTGCAATTCTGCTTTTGGTTCGCGGTCACGACTATCTGGTCTCATCTGTATGATGCTGCTTGGTTTCTGAAGTTCGCTATCGCTCATTTTCCTTGCACATCTACACATCCTGGTTTTCTTACTTATGCATCCGCCGGTCATCGCGATCTGTTTGGACGGGTCAATGGTTCCACAAACAAACAGTTTGCGAGAAAGAAATCCTTCAGGAAACGACTTGACGGGTCCAGACGAGGACCAACTTAAGAATCTTCAGGTCTACAGAAGGGTATCCTCGAAGTGACATGCTCACACAAGAACTTCGTAATGATTTCTGGACTTCATCGCAGTCAGATTGTGGTTGGATTCCTAGACTCTAATTGACATACTCACACTTTTGTAGTGATTTTCTGGACATAATCACAGTCAGATACATCCAGATCGGGCCATAAATGCGGTTGGATTCTTTCAAGAAAGCCTTCGTGTGAGTTTGCCCTGATTCTCCACAATGAGTAGCGAGAGAGAGAGAGAGAGAGAGAGAGAGAGAGAGAGAGAGAGAGAGAGAGAGAAATACATAAGTAGCATAGGAGAAATCACGGAGGAATCTGAAGGCGCAGGGTAGAGGAGGGAACAAGCAGGTGAGGAGTGGCCAGCTATAGAGAGGACAATAGGAAACAAAGTAGATACAAGCTAGATAGATGATAAAGAGAGGACAACAGAGGCCGAATCTCTCTCTCTCTCTCTCTCTCTCTCTCTCTCTCTCTCTCTCTCTCTCTCTCTCTCTCTCTCTCTCTCTCTCTCTCTCNCTCTCTCTCTCTCTCTCTCTCTCTCTCTCTCTCTCTCTCTCTCTCTCTCTCTCTCTCTCTCTCTCTCTCTCTCTCTCTCGCGCGCGCGCGCGCTCAGACACACGCACACGCATGCATGCACACACGTACACACACACACAACACGCAGTTAATAGAAGGCCCAAAATTCGGGGTTTTTCGCCGCATCACTACAAGCAATGTCGTCGAAACTTTTGCAAACAATCTATGCAGGCTCATAATACAAACATCAAAAAATCAAACAGGCCAAAAAAAACGAAAAAAAAAAAATGAACAGCACTATAAAACCCTATTCGAAGCAGCTTTTGAAGTTCGGCAAAACGTTTCCCGAATTCGGTGTTTTTGCCAACTTTTTCGTTACTCGTCCAAATACGCCGAAACCGAAGACAGATATACCCTAAAGCCATACATATTAGACAAAAAAACAAAACAAAAAAAAGCAAAAATTCAGGGAAATATGGCAGTTTCCGTGAAAACTTTGCCGAAAATGACACCACCTACTGACCACGAGTGATGCATACATGTGCACACACACACATGAGCACACATGCACGCACACGCACACACACACACACACACACACACACACACACACACACAAGCATACACCAAGAAGAAGACAAGAAATAAAAAAGCATACACCAAGAAGCATCAAGGAAGACGGATAAGGAAAAGCAAGGTGATGGCAGTTAAGGCGTACCAATGAGAGTGTCTCATAGATCAAGAAGCTAGCAGCTATTGCCACGGCTGTGAGCATGAACAGTTTGATGAATGGCCTGCAGTCGCTCCTGGATGCCACTGCTCGACTCTTGAGCTCATTCTCCAACAGATGAAATGGAAGAACATCCGCCGCTGATCTTGTCGTTTCTGGAATATTGCTCCACAAGACAGGATGACCTCCACTACAGCGCGGATATCCATACGCAACAACTCGAGGCACAGACTCAAGAGAGTACGACGCCGCTCGAGTGGCATGATCCAACCGCGTGTCGTTGCCGTCATGGCCATGCTTACTGCCCAAGAAAGCACCACCAATACGCCAGCTGTGTGCTCGGCCGTTTCCTCCCATTGCGCTGTTCCCGGAAGAAGTAAAAGACCAAATCAACCCGACGTCTTGCCTCTCCGCAATGAGAAAACAAGATAGCCACTCTTGCCTCTCCGCAATGAGGAAAGAAGATAGCCGCTGCTTCTAGCCCAATTTCAGGTCACACGAAAGCCTGTACTTCCACGCAGTGATACCTGCACCGTCTTAGCCTCGTCCGAGCAGCACCCCTTTCTCCTCTTTCCCTCCTTCCTGCCTGTGCTCTCCTTCCTATCTGGTATCGGTGCAGCCTCGCTTCTACGTTTGCCGTAAAGCATGCTTCTAATCACCTACAAAAGCAACCAAACGGAGTGACAACAAATGCCACCTCCATGTATGCGTGCAGGGAGAGGGTGCCAGAAAGAAGAGGAGAAAAAGGAAGGTAAGGGAAAGAAAGATATTGATACAACAGACGCCTCCTCTTCCTCCTCTTCCTGCGAGTAACAGTGTGAGGATAATAGCATTGCCCTGGAGGCTTTTGTGCCTATTCTCGAGATGCCAGGAACGGAATAGGAAAAATGCCAACTTCCCCAGCTATGGAACTTCTGAAATAGGAAAAATGCCAACTTCCCTATCAGCCAAACCGTCAATCAAGGGATCAACCTTCAGCCGATTCCTCCTGACTGTACTTAACCAAAAATTTTGCATCAATTCTCTTCTGATCGTCTCACCTGCAGCACCATACTCCGTCTCCGTCATACAGGTGACACACAAGCATACCGCAGTTTACCACACCCCTATTGGATGATCAGGCAGACTGAGATCGATCAGGCAGTCACATAGCTCATAATACACAATGAACTAACAATGCTTTGCTGACCCTGTCAACTTCTCAATGCTCGAGCAGAGAATGGGTAAGAGAGGGAGAAGAGGACAAATAACGAGGGGCAGTGACAGACTGTTTCGTCGAGTTTCAGACTCATCAGGAGGCCGAATACATATATTTATGTTTCCTGCGATCAGCACAGCCTCAGGTAAGGCAAACAATGCTTCAGACTGCCAAAATCATCTCCAAACCAGGCCTGAAACCTTGTCTTTCTCTCTCTATATTCAAGACTAATGCCAGTGCATCCCTTCCTTTGCCTATGGGTATGTCCGATAGAAATCATCTGTCAGAACCTGGCCTACTTTTCACAAGCAAATACATTGTGGAATACCCGCTGTTTGACTCAGAACATATACGCCAGTTCCTCTTTCCTATCCTCCTAGAAAACCGAGGAGAAGCTTGAAAGTCGCGGTGGATTCACGACAGCATTGCAGTTAAACCTCAAAAATGTTTAAATAAATGGCCTTATTAACAACCTCATTCCCTCATGCAAATCCTCGTAAGAATATGCTTACCGATGAAAAAGAAGGGACTGGCCTTTCATCCTTTCATCTGCATCGCACATGGATAGTCTCTGGGGACATCCAATGAAGCATGACGCCATGCACCCAATTGCATACTCTATGCTCAGAGAGGCTAGGCTGGCTACACTTCACTGAACTGTGCTATTGGGTTTGCGCAACTTTGCGCTCTCGCGAATCCAAATGGAGTTTTGGAGTTTTGGAGTTTTGGAGTTTCTTCCAACATAAACCTGCAGAAACAAAAGCGACAAACAGAATGAAACACAAAGCAAAGCAAAAGGGAGGGGGGTAAGTACTGCTTTCCACAATTAAATCAGCAACAAAAGAATAGTTAGACCAAACGAAAATGTCATTTCTGATCTGTCTGAGTTTTATGCGACGGTGTAGAAACAAAAATCAGGAACAAGAAAAGCTAGACCAAACAATAATGGCATTTCCGATCTGTCTGAATGTTCTGCGACGGTGTAGAAACAAAAATTTAGTACCCCTCCCCACCCGCAGGTAAAAAAAAGAAGAAGAAAAAAACGACTAAAGAGTACAAGAACTATCTCAGTTGGTCTTCCGATGCTCTGACCTCGTAGAATGTTTACAGTTTTCACAGTGTCCGACACTACTACTGCCCCAGTGAGGGCTTGTATGTTGCCCATCCTGTGAGATTATAACTCCCCAGCAGAATCAATTTCCTAGAATAGCTTGCTGTCTTCTTTTTTTTTCGTGTGTGTGTAAAGACACAACCCCCTTTAAATTCTGGGAGGGCAACACTCCTGTTGCTTATCAGCTTGCCGTTGTATTGATGTGTTGGAGGCGAGAAACAAGCTTTCATAGTCGACACACTTCAGTGTTGTGTTTAAACTTAAAAAAAAGGAGAAGAAAAACATATATATTGGAATCGCTGGTAGAGTGAGAACGCAGTAACACTGCACAAAGTCCTACCAACCTTACCAACCCTTATTCCTATGCAATGAGTGGATATTATCCCCAAAGCCCTCCCCACTTTTTTGTCTTCTTTGCATTAACCCCCTCCACCTCTGTAAGTTTTCCCCTCACAGCGCAATTTGCTCAAATGCCTGCCACAAAAGCACACTTGCAGTCTAAGAAACTTTGCTCTAATCCAGGCTGGCTAAGAGAAATTCCCCCACCCACCCAGGCATTCACAACGGAACTCCACTCAGGCAGGCCGGACCACACACACTCCGCAAGCCAGATGGACCAAAAATGGTGCGAGAGCCTTGGGGTGGGGTCGCCGGCAGGGTGCAGGAGCTGAGCCTGCTCTGAGCCCTAAAAAGTCCAGCATAACCTCTAAGTTTCGTGGTGTTCAGCTATAAGGCTAGTTGGGTGTATAAATGGGGTTTAAGCCTTTACGGGGTTCTGGACTCGGGAGGGGTGTGAGTTGAATTTCTGTTTCGAACTTTTGAAGCTATTTCCATTAAATTAAGTATATATATTCTCTATCTGGGCTTACTAAGAAAAACTGAAGTGAGTTCTGGGCTTACTAAGAAAAACTGAAGTGAGATCAAGTGACCCTCTCTCCACCGCCTAGCACCTTTTGCAACTCTGCACACCATTCTTTTCCTTTTCCATTTAAATGTTTCCATTTTTCCAGAGTTTGAACTGGGCTACCTGCAACCTTACACAGAACTTCCCCTGTCCAGGTCCCCGGCCTAGCTGGGCACCCAAGCTAAAGGATCTATTTTTTTCTTTTCCTCTTCTTTTTGTTTGTCAGAGTCAGTCTATGTCTTAGCTGCGCTAGGATAAGCTCTGATGCATTGCAGGATATTTGCCCGCTGCGTAAAAATTTTGCTAAAGGATCTCTTGTTACTATGTTTATATGATCACATCTGGATTCAAACGTGGGTCTGTATTTCAACAGTTCATGGGTGTACCAAAGGACCTAGGCCCGTTGGTACTTTGATAAAGGATCTGTTTCTGTTTTCCTTTTTGTTTTGTTTGTTTCCCTGTTTTGCATCAGGGGTTGAGGGTTCTCCATTCAAAAGACCTCCTGGGGTGAGGCCTGCTTGCACCGGGACTGAGCGATATTGGCCTTCAATCTCCGCTATAGTGACAGTACGTATTGATTAATTATTGCAGCAGGTGGAACCGTGTCCTTGGTAGTTAAGCCAACCTCCTCCCATACAAGATGATGGCTAAGGCGCTGTGCAACCGACTGCTGCCGTAAATGCACAACCTCATCCACATGGTCCAACCAGGATTTATTCCCCAAAGAAATAGACAAGTCAACATTCTACTAGTCAATTAAACAATCAAATATGCTCGACAACGAAGAGTGGAGGTGGCCGTACTATTCATAGACTTCGAAAAAGCATACGATCACGTGGACTGGAACTTCCCGGACCTATGCCTAGCTAAAATGAACTTTGGACGCTGGGTCCATACCCTGCACCAGCCGGCGGCCATAAATATAAAGATAAAAATGGTCACCTGTCCCCCCATTCCCACTTAGGAGGTCGGTAAGACAAGGCGACCCCATCGCCCCTCTCCTCTTTCTCATAGTCATGAAAGCAGTCGCTGTGCTAATTAGAGCAAATCCAGCAATCGAACGCATAGACATCCCTGAACTCCAACACCACAAGATCCCAGTTACTTCCCTATTTGCTGATGACCTGACCGTCCTCACTAAAGCAACCACATCAAGTATCGGTGCCCTGGCACAGACCATCCACCTGTTTTCCATAGCTGCGGACATGAAAGTCGACTGCAGATCAAAGACGGAAGAGTGGTGGCTTAACGGGGACGAGCACCCCCACCACAGGACTCCCAATCAATTCGAAAGCAAGGGAAGATGCAATTCCCACTTTGGGAGTTCGCCTTACGGCTATGGTCCCCCCCCCAAAAAAAAGATCATGCCGACCGAGTGGTCCAAACTGCCATGATTCAAGCGATGGAAAGATGGAAAGGCCTCCATACATCATTGGCAGGCAGGGATCTAGCGATCAATAATGCTATACTGTCCACCAGGGTTGCCGGCGTTCGGGACAGGCCGAACGCCCGAACCCGAACGCCCGAATGTACGGGACCCCTTCGGAAGGCGTTCGGCCGTTCGGGCCGAACGCGGACCAAAAAAAAAAAAAAAAAAAAAAAAATTTCAAAAAATTCCGAAAAAAAAAAATGTTCTGGAGAAAACTAAACCAAACAACATTTTTTTTTATAAAACAAACAATTATAACCGGGAAACGGGCCCGGCGTCCCTTACATGAGTACTGCAGCACACAGGGCTGAAAGAGGCACTCCTGGCCAATCTCATCCCCAGCCACAGTTATATCACCGCTTGGGACCCCTGCCCCCCGGGCACAATATAGTCTCCAATTTACCAATCCGTATTTTCCAAATTATCTACAGCAGAACATCTAAAAACCATCTGGCGAAAGACAGAACAGGACAGAGCAAGAAAGGTGTACCAAAACGACAGAAAGTCTAAAGGAACAAGCTACCACAAAGGCACAAGCTATGTATACTACCACAAGGCCTATAGTTACTATCCTAAATTTAACTATAACACGATGCACAAGTAACAAAAATCATCACTCTTCCTATCAATTGTTCACAATGGCACATTTATAATACAGTGTCACAGAAGAGATCACAAATTTGCATGGCCACTACATCCAAATTCTTTACCAAATTTGAATTAAAAATCAAATACAGAAAATAAACACTATGATAAAAATAAAAAATAAAAAAAAAGAGAATTAAAATGAGTGAGTGTGCCAGCACCTTTTCAACACCGCCATCTTTGCCGATTTTTAAT